CATGATAATAAGAGTGTAGTAAATATCGACCTCCGTATTGAACCATTTAAAATTTCTTTTAATTTTTTAGTTCAGTTGGGTAAATACACGTTAATTTATGTAATATGATACAGAGTGAAACTGGATATTTGCATCAAATTTTGTGCAATAATAATTTATAATGATGTTATGAAAGTCACATTTAATTGCAAAGGATAACCAATTACCAATTTCTACGTGTCATATATATGTGGTGAAAAAAATGAATCTGAGACATTAATTTATTTAAGTGTAATATAAGATAACTTGTTCTTAGTTATAGACTTTGGATGTTTAAGAATATAACATGTATGGGAGGAAAAGAAGGGACAAAAAGAGGATCTAATGTGCCAAACGACAAATCATGATAATAATAACAATGATAATAATATCTATTATCGCTTTTTGAAATATCGAAATTAGCAAAGAGTGACTGAAACTTTAATATTGCAGCAGGAACACTGAGGGTGACAAATTTCTGGATCTAACATTATCAAAACTAGAACGCTCAATGCAAAAGTTAGCACGCTTAGTGGAAGCTGAGCTGCAGCGAACAGCTCGTGACCGAGAAATAATGCAAGTAGAGTTCAAAGCTTTTCATGAAAAAAATGATGTGCAAATCAATAATCAGTCCGTTAAAACAGTCAACTCCAACGTATCACCTTGTACTTCTTGGTGGCCTTAGCCCGATAGCAAGTTTAACAAGCTCGTGATAAAAACACAAATCTTTCGAGACATATGTGTTTATCAGGGTATAGGATCATACGTTCCATACACAGTGTCGTCGGTAAGGTGTCACGACGGTGCTAAAAAGAGAAAAAGACGAGGAGCTGAAGAAAAAATGTACATGATTGGTTAAGTCCTTCGTGATAATAAAATTTAGGCTTATGTCCTCTTGTCAGGTCAAATGTTATACTGGTATATCAAGATAGGTTGAAGAAAATTATTATTACTACGGTAACGAATGAGCAATATTTCAAAGAACTGTAAAGTTTAAGAATGTGTGGACCTCTGACTTATGGTAAGGGGAATACAGCGTTTAAATTTATTCATAATATTTGTCATTAGGTGTTTTTAATATCATTAACTTTATAAACTACGTCACCGTGTCAGCGAAAGGCAAGGAAATCTGATTACGAATCGCTACCATCAAGGTCCCAAATGCATCCTAATCATAAAGTTTGTAAGGTTAGATCTGATTTCAAGAGGACCCCTGACCCCATAAATATGCTGCAATTGATGGAACCTCTTGATTTTCCCAACATTCAGGACCCAGAGGAAAATAGCCGCTATATGGATGATGTCTTCTCTTCTAAAAGTATTGTTTGGAATCTGACCGTAAACAGTCGTTCTAATAATGAGTCAGGTAGTGCAAATCAGATCTCCGTCAGTGAAGCTGCGCAGCGGCCACCAGGCAAAACAGTTGCAACAATTATATAACCGATTCTGCCCTAGACATCGGTATATTTCAACCTTATTAACCGCCGGAAGTATGCTCAGTAACACTTGATTCTCCTCAAATTATAAAGCATTAAGATAGCTACTTGATGTCTCATACACAGGCCTGATAGACTTCTTCGGCTGGCTCTTAAGATGTACACTATCCCTCTTGTGGATGTCGAGGTCAACTAATCTCTCGCGGTTTCTACAGCTTATATACTGGCGACGATAAATGACAGCAAAATTCCGAAATCGATCCAATAGACATTTTTTCGCACAGATCATGCACGTCTAAAATCATTGAGGGTGATTTTATTCTACCAAACATTGCATAGAATTTAGCTTCAGTGACAAGATGATGTAGCAATTTAGTTTAAATAATAAAATTTTATGGGTGGGTCCTGCAGGTTTGGAATCTGTAAGCTGTCCGATAAATAATAGTCATAAAGCAGTTACTTCACACTTTAAACATTGCAATAACTGTATACGTAACTCCAACTTGACAAATCTGACTTCCTAGCTCACTACAAGCGCACTGTGCCAACAAGACACTTACAGAAATATCGGCTACTTGAGAGTATTACTGTTAACCTAATCAATCCAGTTATAAAACACATATGAGTTGAGAATAATGCTTTTTAAATGTTATTGCTGACAAAAATTTAAAATTTAAATAGACGAGCCACATTAGCATTAGCCAGTTAGTCTGTGGTCAAGCCCAACATAACTGATATCTCTCGATTGACCTGTGACAAACATAAAAGCTTAAAGTAGAAGCTTTTACAGTGAAGGTAACATACAAACATAATACGGCTATGTATACACACGACTTTAATCATCTGGCACGTCACTATATTTAATATAACACCGAATCATTCTAAAAAAAATTGTTGTGCCCCATTGCAATTAATGAATAATGAGTTATGTGAAAAAACCGTATGTTGATTATCATGGCGTTGCCCTGTATCAAATCTCAACAGGGAGTTTACTGATACTGGTAACTGTGTCATTAGTGACTTGGGGAAATATTCTATAGTCCATAGAGAGTTTGTACAAAATAACACACACGTCACCGTACAATCTAATACCATGGAGTAAAACAGTCGTCTGGATTCATCTTTTACCAGTGATCTAATGTTAATCACTCCTCTATTGATCAGACAAGCCAAAACGGAATCTAAGTATGAATTTAACATCATAAAATATTGTTATCATTTCTAGTGGCTGTAAAAGGACAAATGTCTTAATTTTTCATTCATTTGCAGTTGGTTTACAGTAAGCATAGGTGCATACCATACAGCACATTAGCCACTTCTAGGATCTGCAAGCTAACATGAAAACCAATATCTCCCTAGCGCACAGCCGATTAGCGTATCTTCCAAAATCACAAAGGCTCTAAGTTAGGTAAAATGTTTAAACCCAAATCCATTTAAATCGAAGCAAATTGTGATCGACGAGATCGTGCAACTGTGCATCGGACAATCTGCGTATGGATGTTATAACCCACTATACACATTCGGTCGTATTTTCAGATATTCGGGGTCAAGCTAAATGGCAAAGCTGCTGGATACAACATTGACTAGACTCAATAAAAGCCAGCATACACTTAGTTTTAGAAAAATGTTAAACTGCTAGTCAGAGCTGTATAAGATAGCACATTTTGATGGTAAACATATGGTGCCCTTTTACTTTGTCTTTTATTAGGTTTCGTTATTTTGGCACATTCACTTCAGCTCATGAGTTCACACACGATCGCAATGCAGGCACTCATACAGCTAGACTAGACCTCAAGTGGAGTAACGTTTTCGTCAAAATAATACCACAGACAGTTAGCTCGTAATAATATCTCATAGTTTGGGTTGTGCTAGTCATTACTTTACATCGGTGATACCTGTCCTCAGTGAAAACCCTAACTTTTTAGACTTAACTACGGTTAAGTATCAACTAATCCTTGACTAGCTTCATATAGCATGACCATACGGTCATACAATAATGCCACACTTGTCATGCGATATAGCAGACAAGTCAAAATTGGCACCAATACTATCAATATTACTCAGTCAATCAGCAGCCATGTTTTCTTGTGTCCTGATAAATTGATGTATTGTTGGGCACAAAGACCAAAATCACTGTATTCAGCAGCACTGTTAATTAATGGCCTTATCTAACAAAGGAATATTTTTAACAAATACCGAACACAGAAATGTGATCTGATGGGGGAAAGTAAGTAAGTTAGAAGCTGTCATAACCGAAATTCCGAATAAAGCAACCAAGCTTTTGTGGGGGTGAGGAAGCTATGTGTAACTCGAGTAGATGTCACAACTAACTTTGACGGATTATATACTTTATTTCAAAAACAACATCAGCCGTCGAAAATAATTTGCCAGTTAATTCAAACAACAAGAATATCTTTACAACTCGATTGCATAAAGTCAAGGAAACAAGCGAAGCAATTAACAGAAACCAGACTCCTGAATATACAAATCGTTCTTTTTCCTCGGCTTGCTACAGCGAATATACGAGTGTCAAATAAAGACAACAAGCAGGAAGAACCTAATGTCAAAATTTAAATATTAAAGGCGAGAAAACTGATGCAATAAAACAATAGTTTAAATATATTATCTTCCCAGAAAACATTTTTGGACTGTTCATAATATTCCGTAAGAATGATAGGAAAGAAAATATCATGTTTACAGCACACAGAAAAATACACATGAAAATGTGAAAATGTAACACTTGAAATGATTTATATGTGCATTGCAAAAAAGGTACACAATCAATCCGTCTTTGAATCACTAAGAAACTCAAACATAAATTTATTTGAACTCGAGTAGTTAGGAAGATATTGATGATGTCACAGGTATTCAGTGTTTGACAACGCTTCTACCAGTAACACCTAAGATATTTCGTTCCCACCAAGAGAAATCAAAAGACAGAGTCGAGGAGATCGGAAGAGTATATTTGGCGATGACCAATATACCGGGATTCTCTGATCTAATCTGGCTAGCGATTGTGGTTGATGTTGAGCACGGCGTTACTACACGTGATCTGGTGCGGATGCCTGACCGAGCGCCTTCAGCTAGATGAGTCCACTAAAACATATGGTCAGCATCCAATGTCGAAAACTTACAGAGCTATTTATTTTAGGGATTTATTTACCGCTACAATATCTCTCGATCCATAAATGTTTTTTGGTACTAATAGTTACTACTTTTCCTAGAATACGAAGGAATTGCATAAAAGTGAAGAGATGGTTAGGCCAGACAATCGAAAAACCACAGTAACAAGTCGGAAATTTCCCTCAAGTAACTGCAAATCCATATTTTTGCCATAAAAATCTGGGTCTTTCTCTAATAATCCTTCACCATAATGTAAAACTGATCACAAACGTAAACCTTAAATTTTTATTCAGAAATGCTCTTTTAATTATTCAAAAACAATAGTTGACGAGTAAATATTTTTTCCGAACGTCGATTGAAAGTCCCTTGAATCAACAATCCTTGAGTGTAACAGAAGCAAGGTTATCAAATGTTGGCGCATAAATGGAATGCCCGAATAAGCTTACGCGCTCTGGGGAGGAATTGGAGGAGTTAAGTAACCTCATCAAGAGGAATAAATCGGACGATGTAAACTCGCTGGTATTTTACAATCAGGTTGGTTGTTTTATAACTGGCATGGATATCATGTGGTGTTTTCAGGATGGACGTCCTAATTCTATGTTAACAGTTGAGCCTCTAGGTAATTCTGAATCTCTGATATACAATAACAGTAGAACCTGAAAAAAGCAGTTATTACGTTTTTCTCAAATACCACACTTGCTATGATCTACTCCCCGAAAGCGCCAAGCTTGTTGTTCTAGATACAAAACTGAGCGTAAGTGATTCGATGCACATGTCAACCTAATTTCTTAAATGTTCAGATCAAAAAAGCGTTTTATGCACTCATATATAACAATGTTCGAGCTGCTATACTATGGGATTCATCCAAACAGAGTTATTCAGGAATTCTAACGATAACTGACTTTATCAAGGTTTTAGTCACTTTATATCCTCCTGATAGTGGGAAAATGGATGAATTTGAAGAAAGTTCCATTTCCAGTTGGAGAGGTAAGTTGGTCTATTATTTTGTTCTATAACATTTTTGGGACCTATTTGACTTATATGGAATGATAATTGTATTCTATAATCATATTTAGCTGGAAACTTCTCTATTTCATAGTATTTTAGAATTATGTACTGATTTATACAACAAAAGTGTGACCGTTTTAGAAGAAAACAAATTTTTTACCTTATTGTTCAAAGTACTGCACACGTTTAGAATCATATTTAGCTAGATTAGTCTCGTGCTTTTGAGGTAGTACAAGGGCTTGTGTAAATCTAAGCTATCTACATGATCCTGAGATGATGTTTATATACGTATATATCTTCAAAGAACAAATGATTTTTATGTAATTCGTCTAATAGAGACGGAAGGCTAGTAGCCTGTGCTAATCCTTTTGTGAATGTCTAACTTTCTCTTAAACGAGTCTACTGAAGATTTGAACTTTTATTTAGTATGTGAAACGATCCATCTGATCCTTAATTTTCCCGATAAGTTAAAGTTTATAAATTTTGTAATCGTTTAAGATGAATGTTGGCGGATTTAGGTCTCCAAAATCGCCTCAGAAAATACATCAATATTTAATATAATCACTCCAGAAAAAAACAAAATATTGTTTGTTATATTTTTCAAAAACTAGCTGTTTATCGATGATATCTTATTTAATTTGTCTATCACGACGTGAAAAAGTTCATCAAATTTTTCATGTAATTCTAAAAGAGGTTGAAGTACTTTGAACTCGTTCTCCTTCTTTTTTGTAAAGCACTGATTGCTACTAATATTGTATTCGCTTTACATTTTATGAATCCATGGTTTTTCATCGTGAATGTCATTGCGTTTATGCTTAGATACTTGTATTACTTAGCTTTCACCCAAAAACAGGAGTGATGCTCATTTGCTCGACAGACTAATCGGGCTGTGATTTGCGTTAGAATTGCAGATTATGGCTTTGAACACTTTGAATTTGACCACAATTCCGTACTCCAAAGATATGTTGACTAAATTATCGAATCGTGCCAACTGAAACATACACGGTAGTTTAAACTAAATATTGTGAAAATTATTTGGATGATAGATGTCTTAAGTCCGTTAAATCCCACTGTTCTCTTTAAAATCACCGTTGACCGTTCAAGTTCACGAATTTGATTCAAATGACTTTCCAACAGTCGTGCACTTTACTAAAAAAAATCCACAAAATATGGAGAAAAATCAGTACTTAAGTATATTATGTGATCAGAACTAATGAGATGAATGAATTTTCTTAGATTAAATAAATTAAGTCAACAAACTCTTTGTTTCCTTAGTTTCCTCTAGCAGTTTGGTTTAATCTCATCGTCAAATGATTGAGTGTTTATCACGTTTTTCAATTCATTTCTATCGACATACATATTTGTGCTGCATTTAAATTACTTTTTCTTGAACGTCCCTAGTTTATCCAAATTTAAATAATTACGTCAGCTAATATGTCAACTGCGATTTTGCATATTCTGTTTTTGGTTTCAGTTTGTCCAGGAGTAGTGATACTACTCGGCTGACTGAATCGATAGAGTGAAGTTTAAACCTACTAATCAGATGTTGAGAGTCAGGTATTCTGACCGCTTTAGTGTTGTTTATCCAGGCATAAGAATGGGCATAATTATTTGTAATAGTAGCAACATACCCACTAGGAGACTCTATTCCTCTGAAAAACTTGTTTTTAAGCAGTTACTTGATATGCACTGGTTTGAAATTTCTAATGAACCCAAAACACCAATATGTTATTCTTCTAACTCTAGTGATTTCTCCAGCCACTCGTTTCTGGTACAACTTGTTTTGTATCAGTCTAATTTTGTTAAAAAGTTTTTCTGACAAAACAGTTTCTTAATAACATCAGAGATCTAACCACATAAGTATTCATGCATATGATTACACATTAATTTTCAACTATATTCCCTACTAAATTCCTCAATCCAAATCAAGGACTAACTTTTAACACTCTTTCGTAACTTTGCGTTTTAACCCAAAATGATCATCGTAACACTTGCTCTTAATCCTAGCCCGAACCTCTTGACCTAAATTATAATCATTCTGGGATTTTTGTACAATAAGTTTACGTCACTAGCATTCTGACCGACTAGAAACTACATTTACTTTATCAAGGCGATTTTTGAGGTTGCTGCAGGTCGTTAGGAAAATATGCTCCACCAAAGATACAATAAAATAAATAAAACAACTGATTATATGAAAATGCATATATATGCTTAAAAAAGAAAGCCAATTTAAATTAAAATCATTTCGTAAAGAATTTGATTAAAATTTGAAAAATGTTTCAAATATTTCCAAAAACATTTAATTTGTGCAGTTATTTCATGCAAAAAATAACAGTCTATTAATGAAATCAATTTGTGGTTTGATTGTTTATGAGCCATTCATTTAAAGGATAAAGTTGATTTTTAGAAACAAGTGGACTATCAATTTAACCAAACAGAAACAGTAACTTCTTAATCTTAGCTACGATTCTACGTTTCGTTAGTACAAGAATCTATATTTATGCAATGATCGTATAAGGATTAAAGGATTACTTAAGTGAATTGCTAGTTGGTGTTTGACTTTTCACAAAAATATGTTTAGTAGTCAACCTTACAAACCTCATTCTATTGACTTTAGTTTTTGACGGCATTGTTGTGATACATTTAGCCTGACTGAAATCAATAATAAGAATCCTATACTAGGTAAATATATTACACGAACTAATTCATTAATATTTTTCAGTATGAATTTAAAAATATGAAACGGTCTATCCATATTCTTTAGACGAAAATTTAAGTTTATCCAGTGTTACTGGAGTCCGAATAATCAGGTTATATTCATCTTACAAGTAAGTTAGCCTCATTATACTCCTGTAAACCAGCGTCTTTTTTTCTGGTTAACGTTTTTTAGAGAGTTAGTTTCCTATGGGATGGGGTCGCTAACCTCATGCTCAACCCTCCGCCTGTATCCGGGCTTCGGACTGGCAGTAGCCCCAGAGGGGCTCCAGGCGGAGTTCTCTAAATCAGAGTTTATATATATACATATATAAAGAATACTCTTCACTTAAAATCATCGTTATTAGATTTAAATTTACAGCGACTTTTCTTTCCTCTGCAAACTTTGAACTATGAAACTCAATAAATCGTTTAGTCTTATTAGTATTTACTTTGATTTAACATTACTTTTAAGATATCTCAACCATGACAAGTTATTACTTTTTATCGGCAGTATTTGTTTTCGTCTGATGAACAACAATAAACAAATGTTTGCCTATTAATTAATGCTTTTTTCTGTAAAGAAAAGAAAGATGCAGTTGAGTCGACAACTGCATCTTTGTGCTAATGTGGTATGACAACTCGAACTGATGTACGTACGTACGAAGTCCTACGTTGTTACTGACTGACTGACTGAAAGAAAAGAAACAACCAATATTGTAAACATGTGCATGACAACAAAAAACCAAGATAAATGTTAAGTATACAACTATATTTTACTCAAAGGTATATTATTATGAAAATTCTGTTTTTGTTGTACCGTCCTTAGTTCAGATTTGTTATGTAAAGTCATACTCAAAGTAAGATGTTACATTAAATAAAGAAAGATATTGTTATGTAAAGATATATTTAGTAGAAAAAGAATTGTACATATGATTTCACTTACTTTTCACTATCAGTAGGTAAGTAGTCAAATTCATGAGATTAGCTTAAATAAAACTTTGATTTCTTTTTTATTCCATCTTAACAGCCAATAATTTTGTTGATATTTCAATAATCAAAACATTTTACCAGGATAAAAATAGTTTATCTTGTTACCATTGATAGATCTAAAGTATAGTTGTAAGTAATTAGATATATTTAATGAAATATATAACCTTGAAAGCCTTGATGGGTTCAAAAAAAAAAAGAAAAATCATGAAATAACAGGCTTCTATATAATCTTACTCTTGTAATCATGATTCAATAGAATACATATATACAGGGGGTACTTAATAAGACGAGAGAATTGGAGTTGATCCGACCAGCTGATATGTGACGATCATTGGTTTTAGATCGAGCTACTATCGTTTTTGCTCTAGAACCTAATGCTCTTGTATGACAACAGGTGTCTAGCATCTTCTAATACTAATAATCTTCTACTTTTCACGATTCGTCTCCTATCAGTAAGGTCCGTAGTGGAAAACAATGGATACAAACATCTATTTTACATATGAACAAGATTAATGGAATGTAAAACAACTGTGAAAAGTATAGTAACTGATAACTGTTAAGGTCACCTCTGAATAGCAGATTATTATTTAGATTTTAATCTGGCTCAAAAACAACTAGTCTGTCCTTATTTAGTCATGAGGTGGAGTACTGTCAGTGTATTGTTTTTAACAATTCGTTAGATTAGTCCTAGTTGACCGTTTCATTTTCAGCATAAAATGTAATTGTTGTCTACTTTAAAATGTTCACTACAAGTTTGATATATCATCGTACGTCTATCATTTTTACACATATGAACCTTCGTTTTGTCGTGTTTTTGTTTACAGAAAAACAGCGTACTTATTGATAGCTTATTTATAGAGGCGTTATCAAAGTCGATTGCGGTTTACACAGTGTTCTTCACTAAAATGTACCAATGTATAGTTCAAACTAATGTTAGAAAAAACTATATTGATGGCTTTCGCTTATTGCTAACCTAATCCTGCTAGGGTCGTGGGTACTCACTATTAAGGAGTTTATTACTAGAATGCAATATTTGTCATGTACCTCCAGGTTTTCAGCAGTTATCAAATGAAAGTTAGTGATCCAGAATACAAATTAAAAAACATGGATACTCTAACTTGACATCACAAATCATTCTGCTCGGTGTTAGATGGTCCGATACAGGGTTCGAGTTTCATATTATTTAATAGTCCCTTTAAGAGTCACAGGTATACATCAGTATTGACGGGTCTCAACTGGTTAGGTTATATCTATGAATTATTGTTGTTCTCATCCAATCATATCTAGGAACG